CAAATGGGACTTCCAGTCCTAGTTCTTTGAGGTATCTCCATACTGATTTCCACAGTGGTTGCTGCAGTCTACACTCCCACCAGCAGTGGAGCAGGGTTCTTCTTTCCCCACAGCTCCACCAGTATTTGTTATTGGTTGATTTCATGATAGCTGCTATTCTTTCTGGGGTGAGGTGGAATTTTAGTGTTGTTTTCATTTGCATCTCTTGAATGAGCAGTGATGTTGAACATTTTCTCATGTTTATTTGTTATTTCTACTTCTTTGTCTGAGAAATGTTGTTCATTTCAGAAACCCAATGTTGGATTGGGTCTTTAAATTTGGGAGGTCTGATTTTTAAAAGTTCTTTATATATTCTAGACAGTAGACATTTGTGTGAGGAACAGCAGGTGAAAATTTTTTCTACATTATGGGTTGTCTCTTCATACTGTTGGTAGGTTCTCTTACTGTGCAGAAGCTTTTTAATAAGAAGAGATCCCACTTGTTGATTGTTTGTGCTAGTTCCCGGGCAACTGAGGTTTTGTTCATAAAATCTTTTCCTGCACCAATTTCTTCAAGAGTTCTACCTAACCTCTGTTCCAGCCAGTTCAGCGTTTCTGTTCTAATATTTAGATCTTTAATCCATTTTGATTTTAGTTTAGTGCATAGTGAGAGATATTGGTCCACTTTTAGTCTTCGACAAGTTGAAACCCAACTTTTTCAGCACCATTTATTAAAAAGGCTATTCTTCCTCTAGTGAGAGTGTTTGTCACCTTTGTCAAAGATTAGGTAGTTGAGTGTGTCTACAGTTGTTTCTGCATTTTCTAATGTGTTCCGCTGATCTTCAGGTCTGTTTCTTTGCCAGTACCACACTGTTTTTATCACAGTAGGTTGTAGTATAGTTTCAAGTTGGGGATTGTTATACCCCCTGCCATGTCTCTGTTGCCTAAAATTGCTTTTGCTATCATATTCTAGGTCTCTTCTTATTCCAAATGAATTTTTGGATTGTTTTCTAAAGGTCTGTGAAGTATGCTGCTGGGATTTCAATTGGAATTGCATTGCATCTATATAGCAGCTTTGGAAGTATGGCCATTTTCACTATGTTGATTCTTCCTACCCAGGAGTGTAGGATGTCTGTCCATTTTTTGATATCATCTTCAATCTCTCTTTTCAGAGTGC